CACAACGACATCATAATACAAATCATGAAAAGTTAAATAAGTCTATATAGCATATATCGCACCCACAGAGAGACAGACCCGTGCAGGTAAAAGGACACTATGGTTGTCTGTAGATGTTTAGAATATGCCTACGAGGATTCAAATTAAGTCACTAGCAACCCACCAACTTCTCTTCTGGCGTGAGACGATAAGAATGAAACATATGTTCTGTCTGATTAACCCCCCAAACCTAGCGTAACACAGTGCTATCTGACAGCACCCAGGGGCACGGCCTCACGGTCCCACGACTGTGGTGTCTCTCCCTTCCAAACGGAACCAGCTGACCATTCCCCTTTACGATCCCCCTCTCGGTAGAGCGCAACCATAATATCCCGGGTCTTCACTCTCCGCGCCGTCCGCATTCGTACCCAGCGGCCCCCTCCCACGGCGGATAACGGCCCACCCGAGGAGTGTGCCCGTTTCGACGCCACCCACCCGCCCCTCTCACCGCCGTCTTCCCTCTCCAGCGCCCGCTGCAGCCGCGCCGTTTCGCTGTCCAAGGTGACCGCCAGAGACCGCAGCTTCGCACAGAAGCTCCGGATCGGGTCCATGGTGAGCACCCAGCGCCGCGGGCCCCGCCACTCGCTTGAATCCCCGGCGCCGGAAGTTTCGTTGGTCCCGCGGCTGGCGCACTAGTCCTCTCTCGCGGGAGCCGAAGTCTCGCGGGAGCCATCTCCCGCGGAGGAGGCCCACGCCGGGCGGAGCCAACGCACTACGGGCGGTGCGTCAGTCGGCGTGCGAAGGGACGCGTGCTCCCGAGGCGGTGGACTGGTGAGTGCCCTGGCTTTCGTGGCCACTCGGGGACCCTGGGTGGGCGAGGACTTCCCCGGAGACGCAGGTTGCTCCGGCGCCGGGCGCATGGCCAATCCGTTCCCGGTCTCTGTTCGCAACAGGCGCCATGTTCCTGACCGCGGTCCTGCGCCGCAATCGCATCCCTGGCCGGCAGTGGATCGGAAAGCATCGGCGGCCGCGCTCCGTGTCCTTCCAGGCGAAGCAGAGCACTATCCGCCGCCTGGAGACGGAGGCGGAGAACCACTACTGGCTGAGCGCTCCCTTTCTTAGCGCCGCGCAAGAGTTCGGGCACGCCGCGGCCCGCAGGGCGGCCGCCTTCCAGGCCATCAAGGCGGCCCAGGAGGTCAAGTTCCCGCCGCACCGGCGGCTCGTCGACCAGCTCAACCACCTCAATGTCACCAAGAAGTGGTCCTAACGACCGCGCCCTGGAACCGGGAGCGTTAGAGACTGTGACCGCCAGGAAACTCGGCTTGGCGCGGTCAACAATACAGATGACATACTGTAGTGTAGTATACCTGAAACCTGTATAATTTTATTAACCAATGTCACCCAATAAGTTCAATTTTAAAAAGTGACCTTTGGACCAGAGTCGTGAGCAGAGCGTTCAGAACATCCGGTCTTCAAGCTCCAGCTTCTCTCTCGTGTTTCTGTTTCTTCACCCGGGTTATAGTGATGTAAGATGCATTTTGGGTGAACCTGCGATGAAACTGCAAACTAATGGTTTGAAGTCTGTATATGTGACATCCAGTGGGTTGCCTAACGTAAATGAAAACAAGCTTTGTCAGTCAAATATATTCCTAAAAATGTCTTTTTTTCCTTCTACCAACAGTGGAGATTAAAATGAAGTAAAACGGTTTTTATCAGAACTGTGGTGTGTTTTAAAAAACTTTATCAGAAAAAAAACTTTATCGGGATAAAATTACATTTTATACAGTTAATCAGCTGTGGATCTTTTCTTTCAAAATAACCCTTTTCTGGATAAAAATAGTCAAGCCCTTTCCATGTGTCACCCGATACAGTAATTCTATTGAGGCAGGTTAGTAAGAAACTAGGAAAATTCCCAGGTAAGTGGAATGGAGAAACAGACAAATGGCTGAACAAACTTGGAACTGCTGGGCAGAGATTCTATCTTCCCTAACCAAAGATAACTAATGAAAAGGAAAATGGGGGGGGGGGGCAGAGGGCAGGGGCAGGGGCAGGAGGGGAGCTTGCAACCTAGTTCAGTATGTGGTTAAAACTGTAGTCTTACTTCCCCACTCTGACTGACTTGGGCGGAGCTGCAGAGCCTAACCCCAGGGCCCCACCACAGCTGACTTGGGCAGAGCTGGGGAGCAGGCCCCCACCTGGAGCTGCGAGGACCCTCAGGGGCCCGTCACAGGAGGAGATGCATAGGTCAGAGCCTCCCCACAAGT